TTATTTTTACTCCAAAAATACAGGTTTTTGAGAGACCTTTTAATCTTCCGTTGAAGAATTTCATTGGGACTACCAAAATCCTTCTTCCTCCAAGATTTTGCTATGATTCCTTTTGCTGCCTCAAAAGATCACCACAAGTTCTCAAATCAGAATTCTCTTTTGCTATGTTGCATTATGTTGTCAATCTGTAGAAGAACTGGACAGTGATCCGAAGAGATTCTAGGGAGATGCTTAACTACTACATTAGGGAATTCTAACAGAGCTTTGAAGTTTAACCAAATTGTATCCAACCTCTCCCAAATTCTTGCTAGGCCTTCTTTGTTGTTGCCCCAAGTGTAATTTTGTCCCTGAAACCCGATATCATGAAAGTCATTGTTTGTCATGAATTCTTTCATTTCCATTGGACCTTGAGAAAAAATAAATTTCTTCCCTCCTTTCTTCTCATTCTGGTTCAGTAAACAGTTGAAGTCGCCTCCAACTAAGCAAGGCTCTTCACAGTTCATGTTTTCCACTATTAAATTCCAGAGTTGACTTCTTTCATTTATGTTTTTGTTACCATAAACAATACATACTTTGGCCGTAGTACCTTTAGGAGTGGTGATATTGCCTACAATACATTGTCTAGAAGAGACAATGACGTTAAAAGAAACCGTTCTAGATTTCCAGAGAGCCAGAATGCCTCCTGCAGTACCAGTGGCTGCCTCATGATAAAATTCTCACTCATTCCCAACCAAATTTCTTACTTCATTACTTCCCAACTTTTCCAGTTTGGTTTCTATTAAACCAATAAAGCAAAGTCCATTCTCTCCTATCATATTTCTTAAGTATTGGGAGGCTTCTTTCTTCTTTGCTCCCCTACAATTCCAGAATAAAAAAGAAGACATTAATTTAAGCATCGGGTTGAGGCCCCAGCCTTCTCCGCTCCTCCCTCACCTTTCCTTGTTCTGTGATTCCCTTTAATGAGTCATAACATTTTCATTTCTTTGGCAAGTTTAGTTTTACTGTTGGACACTTTGTTGATCAAGTTACTACTATCCCCCTGTTCCTTTTTGGTTTTGTTGTCCTAAATTACATTCTTGATCAATTTGGAGTTGTCATTCTTCCCATTTTGTTTCTTCGGCTCTTCATTCACAATATTCATCAGATTTTCTATCCCTTCTCCTTCCAGAATTTTGAAGGGGTTACAAATTGGCAAATTTCCCAGCTCTGTTTTTCCTTCCCAAGACTTCTGTAGTGTTTCAGCTTTATTACCTTCTGAGTGATCAAGTTCAAGATCAACTGATTCATTGTAGTCCAGTTCTATTCCATTCACCTTGTCTATAATAATTTATCCTTATTCAATTTCTCGAATATCGTTGGTTATATGTGATTCCAACATTATGTTGTTCTACTGTTATGTCTTTTCTAGATTCCCAATACTATTTTTTGCTTTCCAAGTACTCCTTTGAGAAGTATTTCTTGCAGCTGCTTTCCTGGATACCTCATTATTGATTACAACATTTGTCTTCTTCATTTTATTATTCACCAACACCCATGGGCCATAATTGCTACTTTCTTCCATAGCCTTCAACTTCTGTAAAGCTAAAGAGCTTTCTTCATGAGAACTGATGAATTCTTCCACATTCTGTTTCTTGCAGTCACCTTTAGCATGACTGATTCTACGGCATTCAAAATAGAGACTAGATATTCTTTCATACTCTAGTTTTTGGAAGAATCTACCTCCCATACTATGCACCCACACTCCGACAGGCAGCTTCTTATCAAGTTTGATTCGGATACAAACTCTGGCAAACTCCCTTCTTCTTCAGTGGAACAGATTGCCATCAAGCATCAAAAGTGTTCCAACTCTCGAAGCAATTCTGGCAATATTATTTTCATCCCAACATTGGAGCGACATATGAGGCATTCTGATCCAAATTGGCGATGAAAGACCTTTCATATATGATGATGAGAATTCTGGAGTCCAGCGTTCCAAGCCTATTATATGTTCATTCATGAACCACGGTCCTCCCATCAGGACTCCTTCCATAGCTTCCACCGATTTGAAAGAGTAAAGAAACCATCCTAAACCAAGAGTGGTGAAATGAAACTTATCATACTTAGCCCATTGTCTTCTAAGCTCCCAAGATACAACGTGAGGTTGAATATCCTTGCCAAAGACCTTGCAAACCAAAGATTTATTGAGCACTTCTGCATTCTTCGCTTCCGCTTTGTTTAGCAGCATAGCTTTCCCATCCTCTGATAACTAAAAATCAGCTTCACTGAAGTTTAACTTTATATATGGTTTTCGAATCCATATGTTGTCATTTGCCAAATTAGCTACATTTTTCATTGTCAATTGATCAGTAATGTGGTTAGCAACAATAGCCTTATGTTGATCTATAACCCCTTCTGTTTGGTTTGCCTGCTTGTATGATTTTGGAATTTCCTTTTTGTTTTTTGGTTTCTGGATAATTCCATTTACCACATCGCTATCAGAGATAGCAACTAGGTTACCAAATCTTTGAACAAAGATGTTCATACCTGAGGATGACACCTCTAATTCATGGCTATTCACCGATGATTCCAGTTTATTCAATGTGCAAGGCATATTGATATCAGAATTAGAATCTATCATTTTCCCTTACCTTATACCTGCTTGATGATATGGGAAACATCACCAGTATTTTCATTTATAACAAGCATACCTCTTGATCTTCTTCTCCGTGCTTCCTCTGCATCCAATAATTTTCTTGAAGTTGAATTTTCTTCAATAACCATTCCATCACCAAATTCCTTCATCGGGCTGTTGCTTGCCTTCCTATAGATCGAAATGTCCATCGATGATCGATGAACATCCACCTCCATAAATGTTCCATCCTCAGGATCACCAGCTAACAAGTCGGGAAAACGAAATTTGAAACTTTCTCTCTCTAGCTCTCGCAACTTCACTCTCTGATGCAATTGTTGTTTAGAAAATTTAATATCTTCATGCTATTCCGGCTTGATTTATATTCGATAAAGATGCATCAACATTTATGTTGATCCAATCTAGAGGTAGGGGATGCCAAGTATTAGTAAACTCCCATAGGAGATTAGCACCCTAGTTATCTAGATTAGGAAATAAATTCTGCTTTGCCAAAAATAGCACATTAACTGCTACATAGGAGCTAGAAGAAACAGAATTAGCATGCAATAGGTGATTTCTATTTTTCCAAGATAGAAAGACTGCTGGTATTTCAAGTATATTTCATGCGAGAGAGAGAGAGAAAGGGCATTTTTTGAATTTTCGCAGGCAAAATCTGGTGGCGGGTTTTAAGTTCGTTGATTGGAGGAAGGTGTTCCGGCCTTCTTCCGGCTATATTATGGCATCAGGACGAACAACTGGATCCGATCGTGTTGGTAATAAGGATATTGTGATTAAAGAGGGATTCCGATCTCAACCTCATCAAGATACAATTCTTGAAGGTAAAGGAAATAAGCCTTTAATCGTGCGCAACAATGGTGGTATCGCTGCAAATTATAGAACATAATTGGCGTCTGAAAATCTGGATTTGGTAATGTTATCGTCGGCGGGTTTGGATTTGAAAGTTAACAAATCTTTATGTAACAAGAAATCGTTACTGGGTCGAAATTTCTTGTCCGACGTTAAGAAGCTGGATCAAGAAGTACCCATTGAGGTTGATTCTGAACAGGAGCAAGTAAATAAGGAAGGGAATGATAAAGAGGGAAATCCGAAGGATGAATTTGTGGAAGCTTGGAAAAAACCATAGCACATCAGGTTATCTTTCAATAATGATTCTGTTGAAATGTCAGATGATGGAATTGTAGTTAAGCTAAATGCGGAAAAGGAGATTATGAATTCTAATATTCTTAAATTCTCTCTGGTTGTAAAAATTCTAGGAGATAAGATCTCATTTCCTATATGTAGTGCTGAGTTAAGAAGACAGTGGGACAGATTCAGTAAATTTCACATGACGTCGCTGGGCATGAACTGGATTCTCTGCTCATTCAAGAGCGAAGAGGCCATGGAGGAAGTCTTCAACGGTGGTCCATGGTTTGTTGGAGGGTACATTGTGGGAATGGATAAATGGACTGCATCTTTCAATCCCAATTCTTTCAAGGAGATTACTGCTCCAGTTTGGATATGTTTCCCCTCTTTGCCTCTCTACTGTTGGGATGAAGAAAATATTTCACGTATTGTGTCCAGAATCGGAGTTCCTATGTATGTGGATGGAAATTCTTTTAGATGGAGCAAACATGAGTTTGCCAGAGTCTGTGTACGACTTAATCTGAAAACAGCCTTCCTAAAGGTGTTTGGATTGACGGCATTACTGGAAGGTTTTTTCAGCAAGTTGAATATGAGAAGATTGATAGGCTATGCTTCCACTGCGGAAAGGTGGGACACAAGAAGGTGGTATGTCCTGAGGTAAAAAAGGCTGAGGATGCTTTGAAGGTGAATAATAAGCAGGATGTTGGTAGTAATCCAGCGGATGAGAAGATTTCAGAACAAAATTATTGTCCGTGGATTCACGTTCGCTTCAAAAATAGAGTATTTAGGAATAACAGAGTTAACAAAGAAGGTAGATCCACTAAAATGGAGAAGATAGTAGACAGCAAGGTAGCAGTGATTAAGCAGCAGGAGAAAGTGGAAACGACTTCTGATAAAGTTCAGGAGGTTGTAAGAAAGATAATGGGACCTGATATGGTTAACAATGTCAAAGATAACAAGGTTAATGTTGAAGCTGAAAATAAAATTCAAATTCTTATGAATGAGCCTGATGAGGTAGAAGAGGGAGAAGTGACGGATCAACATGTTGGCAAAAAACCTGTTGATTCAAGAATGATAGATGGAAATGCGAATGAGCAGTTAATTGATGAAGTATCCAAATGTAATTCGGCTAAGATAAAGTTGGCTAAGAGCTAAGATCTTTGGGCCCGGTTGAGCCTGAACACAAGAAGAAGAGAAGGGATGTAAAGGGGAATTCTACTGGCGGGGACAGTTCCCCTTCTGTCGATTAATGTCGTCTATATTGTTCTGGAATTGCAGGGGAGCCAGAAAGAGAGAGGCTTCGCTCTATCTAAAAGAAGTTGTTCGGGATCATAAGGTAGTGTTTATTGGCATTATGGAAACTAAACTATGTAATATTGACAGATATGACGTGGATTGCCTAATTAGAAGTGAGTGGGATTTTTTTCATCAGCTAGCAGTGGGATTATCTGGAGGCATTTTGACTCTCTGGAACAGAAATAAAGTTTCCTTTATTGTTCAAAATAGTTCGTCTCAAGTTGTTATTGGAGTTCTTTCCACTCCTTCATTGGGAGATTGGAAAGTGGCAACGGTGTATGGGAGTAGATGTTGTGTGGAGAGAAGTGATCTTTGGTGTATTCTTGAGAAGAACATGATAAGCCCGAACCCTTCTTTAATAGGGGGATACTTTAATTGTGTTCCTAAGAAGGAAGAGAAGAAGGGTGGGAAGAGATTCATCTTCTATAGAGGACCTAGAGAAATAAAGAGCTTTATGAATAATGCTGATTTTTATGATGTAGGTTTTATTGGACCAAGTTATACTTGGTGTAACAATAAGGAAGGTTCATCAAGGATATGGGAGAGACTAGACAGATGCTTGGTAAATTCATCTTCCTTGCATTTGGTTCCTGCTGGTAGAGCTAGGCATTTAGCTCGTGTGGCATCAGATCATTGTCCGATTGTTTATAGTATGGAAGCTTGGCATTCTAATAAAGAAAAGCATTTCAGATTTGAGGATAAATGGAGATTATATCCAGCTGCAAGAGGTATAGTATACAAATCTTGGCTGAAAAAGGACTTTGGGGATGAGGTGGAAATTCTTCATAGAAAGATTAAAAGAACCTTGAAGGCCCTATTCTTTTGGAATAGGAATAAGTGCATTGATCTGTGCAAGCTAAAAGATGAGTTGAAGAAGGATATTATTGATTTACAAACCAAAGAGATGTCTGATGGTGGTCTCTCAGGTGATGACTTGTGCCTCCTTAGGCATAAGGTCCATGAATTGAATATTACTTTGAAGAGAATTGCAACGTGGTGGAATCAAAGAGCCAAGACTAGATGGATGGAGGAGTGAGATGTAAATTCAACCTTCTTCCATAATTTTTCTTCTGCTATGAGGAGTTCCAATCTAATTAAGCATATTAGAAGTGCTGAAAATCGTATTGTGGATGATGAAGAGCAGATTGAGCAGATCTTTCTGAATTTTTTTGAAGACAAGTGGAAACAAAGGAATTGTATCCTAAAGGAATGGCCGGAGATTGAAGCTTCCCAGCGGCTCAGTGAGTTGGATAGGCAGATGTTGAATAAGGAATTTTATATGGAGGAATGTAGGGTGGCGGTATTCCAACAGAGTAACAACAAATCTCCTGGATCTGACGGGGTTACCTCATCTTTCTTTAAGAGCTATTGGAATATAGTTGGAGAGACAACATGGCTTGCAATTAAGAAGTTTTTCAATTCTGTAATTATGCACAAAAATTGGAAGGACACATTGATTGTGTTGATCCCTAAGGTTAATAATCCAATTGTTCCTTCTAACTTCCGCCCCATTAGCCTTTGTCAAACTACATACAAGATTGTTGCATCTATGCTTGTGAATAGATTAAAGAATCTCATGAATAAGATGATTTCAGAGGAACAGCTTACTTTCATTCCAGGGAGAACGATGTCTGATCATTGTATTCTTTCCCAAGAGATATTTCATAAGTTTAAAACATCAAGGAATAAGAAAGGATTAATGGCAGCCAAGCTTGATATGGAGCAAGCTTATGACAGCATGGGGTGGAGTACTCTGCAGCAAATTTTAGTATGGTATGGCTTCCCTTCAGTTTTCTCTGGTTTTGTAATGGAAGGTGTATCAAACGTGAGGTTTTCTATTATTATGAAAGGGAAAAAGCTTAGATGGATTGATGCCTGTAGTGGATTTCATCAAGGGTGCTCGTTGTCACCTTGTTCATCATGTGTGCTCAACTCCTGTCTAATGCTATCATACAAAGGGGTCATAGTTTGGGTATTCAAGTGGCTTCTAAGGGTCCTCGAATAACTCATTTACTGTATGCTGATGATGTCCTCATTTTCTCTCAAGCAACATGTGGGATGGCTAGGCAAATGATGAGAATCATGGAGGAATTCTGTAAGTGGACAGGTTTGAAGGTGAATGCCAACAAGTCTCAAATTCTTTTTGGTAAAGCAGTTGGTAGAACTTGTAGAAAGAAACTTATCAGAATTCTTGGTTTTAAAGTTGTTAATAACTGGAAATACTTGGGTATTAAAATGTCTATTAACAGATTAAAGGCAGCAGATTTTCAAGATATTTTGGCTCAGGTTATGGAGAAACTTAATGTTTGGGGAAGAAGAAATATTTCGTTCAGTGGTAGAATCATGCTGTTAAAGTCTTCTTTATTAACTCTGCCAAACTTTGTCATAAGTCATTCTATGGTTCCAAAAAAAATTCTGAAGGTGATTGAGAAATTATGTAGGAATTTTGTTTGGCATAAATCTAATATTGAAAGAGGATTACATTACGTTGCTTGGGATGAATTATGTAAGCCTAGATGTGCTGGTGGTCTTGGTTTACAATCTTGTATCATTAAAATTGGTACAATGAAAGATAGAATTACTTTGAATTATATTCAAAATCCTGATTCCCTTCTACACCGGTCTCTCAAAGCCAGATATTCGGATAACATTTTTGAGGGGAAATGTAAGAAAAATTCTTCTGTTGCTTGGAAAATTTTAGTTGAGGGAGGCAAATATCTGAAGGAGGTGGTTAAATGGAGAGTGTGCAATGGTAAATATATTGATGTGCTCAATGATATATGGGTCCTGGACAGAAGTTTCAACTCTTGGCCTACTTATATCAACTGTGCAGACTTAGAAGGTATGAAAGTTGAACAGCTTTTGACTGATGATGGAAGTTGGGATGAGCTGAAGTTGAGATTGTTTTTTCATAAGGAATTGGCCTGGTTAATCAAACAAGTTAAGGTGGACAAGGAAGGTAGAAGAGATAGGCTGGAACCTGTTAAGAAGCTGACGGGTTGCTCTGTTTCAGCCTTAGCCTTTGAAGCTGTTATGAACAAGAGACACACTGATATTGATGATGGCTATGTGAATTGGCTCAAGAAGCTTAAACTTAACGCAAAGGTAGAATTGTTTTGGTGGAGATTAAGTAAGTTTGCAATTCCAACAAATTCTTTTCTTAAATATAGAAGATTGGCTAATAGTGATTTCTGTGTTAGAGGCTGTGGTATGACTGAGAACTATGCTCATATTGTAGTTCATTGCAAGCATATTAATGATATTATTACTAAAATCAGAGAATGGGGATTTCCTATCAATGTGTTTCAATCTCTTGATGAATGTCTGACAGTACTTAGAAGACAATCTAGCAGCAATCCTGGAATGGTCAGATTGTATTGCACCATGGTTTTCTGGAATTGGAAAAATTGTAACATGGTCAATCATGGGAAACCTGCTATTTCTGCTTCAATGGCTACTGCAAATGTGATTTCTTTATCTTCATCTAACCTTCATCCTTTTCTATATAGCTGGGGTGTTAACCTCTCTTGAGAGTATTTGAATTCTTGGCACCCTCCACCGCTAGATTGGATTAAGGTTAATATAGATTCTTCATTGCTTTCTAATTACCGGGCTGGTATAGGAGACATATTCAGAGATAATATGGGCAGAATGCTCCTAGGTTTTGGGAGGAGTTCTGTGCATTGGGACAGTGGTCAATTGGAATTGGAATCAGTTTTTGCTCTTTGGGATTTCATTCAAGGATGGATGCTTGAATATGTTGGTGTCATTATTGAAAGTGACAACCTCAATGTGATTAATTTCATTCAACAATCTATGAAGAAAATCAATTGGCAGAGGGAGAAGAACTTGGGTAATCAACTTCACTTCCTTAATTATTTTAATAAAGTTGTTTTTCATCATGTGAATAGGAATTGTAACAAAGTAGCTGATTTTTGTGCTACTTTGGCATTAGATGGTAATTTCTTGTTTGATAGCTTTTCCTTTGGTAGTATTCCATCTATCTTGATGGATTTGATCAAGAAAGATGGATACCCATTTATCAACTGTAATTAGCCCTTTTAGTTTCCTTTAATGCAAATTTGCAACTTTCAAAAAAAAAAAAGATAGAAAGACTGCTGTAAAATAAATTTTCACCATGTTTGGAAAACGAGAGGAATGTCTTCTTAGTTCTTCAAGGAAATTATCAAGATATTGGAAAAAAGGAATAAAGAAACCCATTCTCTTAATCTGAGAATGATTTCTTTTATAAATTTGCAATGAACTATTATATGATCATAGTTCTCAACCATATGACAATCTCTTGGACATTGATCATAGAAATTCAAAAGTTGGAATAGCAAATTTGCTCATCCTCCACCAAAAAAGCTCCACTCTCATGTTTAGTTTTAAGCCTCTAATCCAATCAGTAAAATCACAGTCTTGCTCCTTAGAATGATGCTTTAAAGATTCTTCATATTCCATAGATGTTATAGTCTTACAATTGTGAGTAGAAATGGTTTCCAAATAGTCTTCTTTAGCTTCATGTTCAATTTAGCTTCATGTTCACATTGAAGTAATTTTGTAGCAGCATTATATTCCAAGTGCCTTCAGCCATGATAAAGAAGTCCAGATTTACATTATTTAATTCTACATAAGCAGCAAGTGTTGTCCAAGAGTTAAAGCATTTATCCAAAAGCCAAATGTCCTTCATAACATTTGTTTTCTTCCCATTCACAGCAATCCATTTAACAATAGGTCTGAGATACTTTCCACCATTTAGAAGAATTTTCCAAGTTGATGAGCCAGCTTTCTTTCCTTCAAAAAATGTTATCACCATATTTAGTAATAATATTCCTATGTAGAAGATTGTCAGGATATTGAATAAATCTCCAAGCAAGCCTTGATCTAAGAGGTCCTATCTGTTGGACAGCTGAATGTAAACCCAAGCCACCTTCAGATTTTGATTTACATAAAACATCCCATGCAACATAATGTAATCCCTTTTTGCCCATTCCTTTATTCCATATGAATTCTTTATAGAATTGATCAACTTGATGCAAGATTTTCTTTGGAATCAAAGAATGAGTTGATAAAAAACTTGGTAAGGTTAGGAGAGAAGATTTAACCAAAGTGATCTTATCTGCCAAGGAAAGTTGCTTGTTCCCCAAACATTTAGCCTTTCTAAAATAAGGTCATCATACCTTGAAAATCAAATGTTCTAAGTCTTCTTAGAACCATTTTAACACCCAGGTAAGTCATTTCTTTCACCACAATAAAACCTAACTTCTTCTTTATAAGTTTCTTCATTGGAAGCTTCACCACTTTCCCAAATAAAATTTGAGATTTGGATGCATTGATTCTCTGTCCAGACCAAGTGCAAAAATCTGATACAATAGTCTTAAGCTCTTGATCTGCCGTTGAAAAAGCATTTGAAAAAATTAATACATCATCTGCAAATAAGAGATGTGTAATTCTCTGGTTTTTGGGTGTTAAACTAACTCCCAATTGCTTGCCTCTCTGGTTTATAGAAAGGGAAAGTAGCTACAAACACATTATGAACAGGTAGGGAGATAATGGGCAGCCTTGACGAAGCCCACTTCCAGCTTTGATCCAATTGGATAATTTTCCATTTAAGATGAAGGAGAACCTGACATTCGTAACACATTCCATGATAATCTTGCAAAAAGAAAAAGGAAATCTATAAGTTTGTAAAACTTGAAGCACAGTTGGCCATCCCATGCTATCAAATGCTTGTTCCATATCTAATTTTATTGCCATCAATCCTTTCTTGTCCTTTGAGGTCTTGAATTTGTTGAAGATTTCTTGAGCAAGCAAGCAATGTTCAAACATAGATCTCCCGGGGATGAATGCAATCTGCTCTTCGAAAATTAGCTTGGAGAAACAAAGCTTAGTAATGTTGACCAACATGGTTTTAACCAACTTGTAAGTGGTTTGGAACAAGCTTATTGGTCTGAAATTTGAAGGCACCGTCGGATGCTTGACTTTTGGGATTAATACTATCAAAGTATCCTTCCAATCATCTCTCATAATTCC